CACTCTTGGGCCTCTATTAGAATTCAAAGGTATGGGTCAGACCAGATAAATCTTAAGGACCTCTTAGAAATAGCACCTTATGTTCATAAGAGAAAATGTGGCGATTTCTTTCAGCCATATCCTTACTTTGTCCAAATGTTCCTACCTCCACAGGGTGTGCAACAGTGATATTACACCTGAGAGACGGCCCTAGCAGCACTGGCTCCTAGGGCAGGAAGACAGAAGAGTAGGCAGTCTGAGGAGAAGCATAGGCCCCCATCTCTACTCAGGACTACTATGGAACTCAGGAACTCATGCAGCTCAGAGCCTAGGCCTCCAGACTGTTAAAAATCAAGTATTTGTAGGGCATTTTCAATAGAATATACATTTTTAAAACATACAATAGGACTCTAATGAAAGAGAACTTAACCTGTATTTTCAGGAATTATAAATTATTTTGATTCATTTTACCCTAAATTGAAATGATAATATAGACCAAGCTTACTCAAAGTCTGCTCTATACACATAGCTTCTCTAACTGTGCTTGTTTTTCTTTTTCTAATTTTTATTGTGGTAAAATATATATAACATAGAAGTTACCATCTTAACCATTTTTAAGTGTACAGTTCATTGGTATTCTATGCTTGTCTTTTTGGTTTTTTTTTTTTGTGTGTGGTACGCGGGCCTCTCACTGTTGTGGCCTCTCCCGTTGTGGAGCACAGGCTCAGGACGCGCAGGCTCAGCGGCCATGGCTCACGGGCCTAGCCACTCCGCGGCACGTGGGATCTTCCCGGACCAGGGCCCGAACCCGTGTCCCCTGCATCAGCAGGCAGACTCTCAACCAGTGCGCCACCAGGGAAGCCCTCTATGCTTGTTTTAAAATGGACTTTTTTCAATACATGCAAATCGTAATAAAATAAAACAAAATGGTTTCCTCTCAAAGAAGGAAACAAAATTTTGATATATGCTAATAGAAATATGTTGAATTCAAAACACTTTTAAATATCATCAATATTAATGATGAACAATTACCGTTGAACTTACTTGCACAAAAACTCAAAAGAAGCTCTCTTTCTAAATGATTACTACAAAGAAAACATATCTAAAAAATTGTAAGATTTAACTAAAAGCAAAGTGAGTAAATTTTGAGAATAACCTCTTAAATTCACTTAGAAACAATCAAAAGTTCACTTACATACAACACTGCCAACCAGAACATAAAACAAAGCAGTATAATAAATCACCAGGGAATCAAGCGTCATTTAATTGACTCCCCAAAAGCTTCTGGTGGGACTCCAGGAAATAAAAGTATGGATCCTTGAATAACAAGTCACTTGAAATAATCACAGCATATACAATTCTAAGTTATCTGCTAAAGCTTTCACTATTTCTGTGGCTTAATTTTGAAAAGAAAAGGTTTAGGCGAGAAACGAGACAATCAATGAATTTATCTCCAATAGCAAAGTTTCTTTAGGAAAAGAGAAAAGTTATAAAACTGATGCTCTGTTTCTATGGAAATACCAATAAAAAACTTATTTCTTAAGTCCTAATAGATTCCTTTAAACAACAATGCTCAAAATACAAATGGTGTATAAGGTGAGAAAGGGAGGGGCTTGCTAGGGGAATTCTAAGAAAATATGAATCATCTCAAAGCTACCTTTTTCTGTTAAGACTATGAGTACTAATGCTGACTATAAAGTTAAAAGCTGTCCTGATGATTATTTGGTTTTCTTTTGTGTTATAAATCTCTTAATTTTCATATTTTTTCTAAATAGATTTAAATGACAAATATCATTATTTCATTAAGATAAATATTTGCAAAATTTTCTGTAATGCACCAGCAAACAAACAAATCAGCAGTAAAAATGAAGGGTGATTTAATAAATCAGTCATTGGTTATAATGTAAGAAGATTACATAGAAAAACAGGGATTTATTCCTTCTGAATTGAGATTAAATACCTATATTTAAATAGAAGATAGTTTTTTCTGCTAATGGAGGAAAAATATCCACTCACATAAATAAGTTAAAAATGGCTGCTTTCAGTGCCATCAATATTCCATTCAAAATATTCATGCAAATGTTTGTGAAGTAAATGGAGTATGGCAAAAGTGCTTGTTTGTCACATACCTGGATTAATATTCCCAGGTATACAACTTCGGCCTGACCCAGTAATGTGTTTGAACTCAGTATATGAGTCACAGAAAATATGAACAGACCAACATTACATTTGGCTTTGATTAACATTACAGGTACAAGTGTTTTCACGTCAATACTAAAAACAATATCCTGAATGCTTATGCAACATCAGTTTCAAATACCCTTTTACAGAAAATGCTCATTAACGATAACCTCATCACTGCAAAAGCTGCTCTAACACTTAATAGCTAGGTGTTATTTCTAAGTAATGTGGCACATTATTACATTATTTCAAGTCATTATAAAGTGAGGTGGAGGCGCAAACTGAATCCTCACCTTTGTACATTTAACACACTTCAATTATCCCTGGCACCTCAGCAGAGGTTTAGCACCCTTCCTGTCCCTATCAGATAACCCCCACAGTACCAATTAAAAGGGATTCTTCTACCTATCACTGTTTCCAGCTTAGGCTGACCATCTGCACCCTTACTCCAGCCAAACTGATGTTAGTTTTACCTGTGGGCAATCTCCTGTTTCCATGCCTGTACTGGGCCACTTACAGCCATGGGCTTTCCCGCACAATCCCATGGGAGCATTTAGCATTCTATTTAAAGACCATTGCAAAATTTCCCATAAAATTAAGGTGCTAGCCAAATTTAATTAAATTTAAGATAACCTTGGGTCTGGCATAAATGAGCATAATAGTTAAGTTGCAAAAGTTGGTTAGATTCCTTAATAGATAAGACTGGGCTGCCAATCATTAGTCATGCAAATGGTCCAAAATGTCAATACTAATGGCTTTTTCACTTATACATCTAATCATATATCTGTAACATAAAATTGATATGGCAAAATACATTTTTCTTATTTTAGTAACATATTAATGCTTGTCCCCATAGAGACATATTCAGCTTTCTGTTGTCTGAATAATAACGCAAGCAATAGTCATCCTAACAATGTTCTTGACAAAAATTCTTTTCTGTCAATTTTTATAACTTCATTTTAAAAGTTGTCAGGACAAAGGTAACAGGATAAATCTTGGATACAAACTTGTTACCTATAATATGGTTAGCTACTATTGTTTAATCTGTAACTGAAGTTTAAATGAGAAATATAAAATAGTAGAGAATTACTCCAGTATACTATAGTATGCCAGAGAATAATGTATAAAAAATAAAAGTGAATATATCTTTAGGCAGAATAAGTTTTTTTTTTTTTTTTTTTGCGGTACGCAGGCCTCTCACTGTTGTGGCCTCTCCCGCTGCGGAGCACAGGCTCCGGACGCGCAGGCTCAGTGGCCATGGCTCACGGGCCTAGCCGCTCCACGGCATGTGGGATCTTCCCGGACCGGGGCACGAACCCGTGTCCCCTGCATCAGGAGGCGGACTCTCAACCAGTGTGCCACCAGGGAAGCCCCAGAATAAGTTTTTAAAGAAGCATCAGAGGAAAAAAAATCTAACATAGAATTCAGAACAAATAAATAAGCTATGACATTATCACACAATATCTAGTAGTTTTTACTTTTTCAATTATCTACAACAGCTGTTTCATAAGTCTAAATTTCCAAAGGTCAAACCACATCACATTAAAAATATTCCAAGTATTTCTTTCACTAAAATGGAGATTACCATGAAATAAACAAGGCCAGAAGTCACCATCACATTCTCAATCACATGTCTACCCAAGACAAACAAGCAGGGCTTGCTATGGTAGGAGTCACCTGTGCCTTCCCCTAGCCCACCCACACTCAGTTCCTCCCAGACATAGCCGCAAAGGCAAAGCAAGATCTCCATCCAGCTGGTCTCTAAAGCAGGGTTCTCTTCCAGGTATTTTTCAAAGTTTGAGGAAAAAACAGGTTTCTCATTAAAGATTCACAGCAAGTCTTTCAAAGGTCACTATGACTAGCATAAAAATACTCATATTCTTTATGGAAAACTTTTAAGAAAAAGTGATAGGAAATGTAACAGTTTCACCTCAGAATAGCTCACATTTTGATAATTTACTTGTCTTTGTGCCTGTGCATCACATTTCAGAAACTAATCATAAAAATACATTACGTCTCCAAAACACAGAGGGAAAATTCATTAGATTTATAGTGCCTGGGAAGACAGATTGATAAAGGTGGTTCTCTGCGCTTGCTGGAAAGTCAAAAAAATAAATAAATGTGTTCTGTACTCTTAAAATGTTTGCCTTATCAAATACAGAAAAAAATAACCAAGTTGAAGGTATCTCATGAAAAGTATCTTGCTATCATGAATTCTTGTGTTAGGAAGGCAGTTCTATTTAAAGCTAGAGGAATTATAATGGGGATCTTTGAAATGCAAGATTCCAGGCAGTTTTCCCTAAGAATGGCATTCTTGGATAATAAGAGAATCCTAGCATACAAACGGATCAAGGATAGAGTATATATGGAAAAGTCTCCAGAGCTTAGAGAAGGAATGTTTATATTTTCAGGCAATTATTAATTGCTCACTGAACAGAAGGAACAAGGCTTATAAATGAACATCTGGGAGCTAACATGACTAAGGTAGAGAATTCAATCAAGACAGCAGCTATACATACTATTTAAGTTAAATCTTTCCATTTCTAAAAACATCCAATGAACCAATATTTAAATGGGGACTTGCAAAGTTTGTATCTCTAATTTCCAGAGGGATAAAAGGATTAAACTGGCTCTACACAGAAACCAGTCGCAGATCAAATCCATAGTGTTTGAGAAAGCTTATATGTTGACCAAATGTCCTTTTAAAAATCTTAAACAAGGATTTCCAATGAGCTGGGGTTTTTTCCCCCATGGTTAAAGCAATCCGTTCACATAGATACACAGTCCCTCCAACAACAACATGTACAATTAATTACATGGATATAATAATATTTACTCACCCTCCTAATAGTATTTGTGGCTGGTTGGATTCATTTGTGATACCAAATATATCAGGAATTAAATCGGCATTGAAGCTAAAAAGAAAACATTAAAAACATTAAGCAGCCATTTTATTAAATTCTCACTTCTAATTTAGTTTAAAAAGAAAAACAAACTTTGGGGAGGTGTGGTAGACATACAACAGTCAGTATCTGTTGCAATCAATGGAATGTCAGATGTGACGTGTTTCACTCTGAGGCCAAAGTGTTTAATTTTCGTTATTGGACCCTCCAGTCATCTTGGCAATGAGAAGAACATGACGGTACAGCTCCACAGACGATGAGGCCTGTAAGACACTCTGAGAGCTGGCAAAAGGGCCTATCACTGACCCACACTGGACCTGCAGTGTGAGCAAGAAATAAACTTTTGTTGTGAGATTTTGGTGTTGTCTGTAACCTCTACACAGCCTAGCCTGTCTCTGAGTGATAAGGAGACTGTTATTTCAGAATCATGACCCTCCTTATTTAGTCAGATAGGCTTAGGAGAAATAACCCACAAAAGTAATCCCTAGTTGGTATAAAAATTTATACTAGCCACTGAATATTGTAACAACAATGAAAAACACCCAATTATAAAAAAAATCAAGCTGCACACCTTTAAAAAGATTAATCCGTGAATTAAAGTTCAGACTTCTAATGGTTACTGACCTATTGATGTATGACTATGATTTTAATAACTGTACAAAAGGCAGCACTGGAAACAAGAATGTGGCTATACATTGTTTACTCCCCGAAATGATATCTACATCATTACCAGAATCCTAACAGAAATCTGGATTAACTTTATCCTGGTACATGAGTCTACTTTGAGGAGATAAATGATAATACTAAGGAAGAGTTGTGAAAAGGACAAAGTTTCTCCTTAATACAGAAATCTTTCTAGGTCTCTAGAGGAAATCCTCTACCCTTCGTATCTGTCAATCAAGCACTAACAGTTTTATCCAAAAACAGTTTTCTTAGTTGAGTAACGACACGGCTAGGATCAACAAAGATCCATCATGGACACATTCAAAGCTTTTAAAACAAAACCAAAAAGACAAATCTCTCCCTCTTTGCAAAATAATGAATTTCACCTTTCTCTTTCTTCCATCATGGCAAATACATATATAATTGAGAGGACAGGCCCCTATCAGCTTTAAATGGAGAATGAATTTAGAGTCAATACAACTTAGCAAAGTAGTTTCCTATGTGAAAGATTTTATGTTTGTAAGTTTAAAATCATTCAAAGGGAAGCAAGCACATACTTACTCCATAATTAATGGTTCATCCTGAAAAGTCCTATTGAGTATGGTCATATTGCAAGGATCTGTTAAAAAAAAAAAGAAAATATATAAATGAAAAGGCATTTTATAACACATTATTTCTGATATTTGCACTTAGGGAAAAATACTCTTTCATTCTTTTCAAAATTCAGCTCTAATTAATTCCAACTATTAGCATTAATGAGACACTATAAATCTAACTTAAATAGACATCAAGTTTGTAAAGATATATTGGGAGAGTTTATTCTACAGTGAAGACCAGCATTACAATAACTTCCTTTTGAGTCTTCATTCTGAAAATCTCTTAGATGAGTCTTCTTTATATACAGTTTAGCAGTAGAGCAGTTGACAATTAAGGTTTTGAAATAAAGAACCCAATACATGCAAAACTACTAGACTCTAAAACGTCCATGCCCTCCTCTCCTCCTTTCTTCAGTCTGGCTCCATGAACAAAGTTGTCCATTTAGGTATAATTAATTGGCTTTTCAGATAAGACTTGAAGATTTGTGGGTAGATAAGGTAGACTGACTCTCAACCTTTACTCTAAACTTTTTGTGCTTTCCTGTACTGGGGAGACTAGAAACCAAAAATAGCATTTCTCAGATATCCTTGCATTTAAGATTCTAAATAAAATGTAAGCCTTGCTAATTAGATATGGTGAGTTTTCCAAGGCAGGAATGAGGTGAAGGCTGTGTTTCTGCCATTTCTGTCTTAATGTCTGATCACTGAATTGTAAGTACTAAGAGGGAGGGTGCATGGCATCCATTTTGCTGGTGAGCAAGTGTCATTCTGGCACCTGTTGTGCAACTTGCCACTTTCTGATGGTAAAAAGGCAGTAGCTTCTTTGAAGGCTTTGAGGATTGTTCCTGAAAGTTCAACCTCGTGTGTGTTCTTTAGCCATCACAATAACTCTGTAAAGCATAAAAAACCTTTAATAAATTCTCTCTTCCTTAAGCTAACAGAGTAGATTTTGTTCCCTGGAGCTGACTGCAGACCAGTTCTAGGTTGAAAAAGAAGAACCAGAAAACAGTCTTTTAAAGAAGTTTTTAGAGACAATTACTGACACTCAAGAACTGCATTTTTGAACTGATTTCTGAACATTATTTTTGTTACACTGACCTAAGAATACCAGGCATATTTCTCCTTTAATATCCAGTGATAAATATTAAAAACTCTTAAAACAAATTCACCTAAGGTTTGATTCTGTCCCCAGAAGATAATAGCTCCTAATTCACCGTTGGCGTGATTTTTGGGAAGATATGTCAGAAGAACATCCATTTGTGAATCTCCATCATAATCCCCCGGGACTACACTTGTTATCAATGTACTGTGATTCCTAAAAGAAACAAACATTTTAATAAACAAACATTCCGGTAGAGCTATAATAGAAAAGTACACTTCTATATTTATACCATACAAAAATATTTTCAATGCAAAATTTAAAAATTCACAGAACTGATTAATTACATTCTGTTCTTTAATAGCTTATCATCCTTCATGTATGTAGGCCTCTTTGGTCTATGAAAGAATTCAGGATGGATGCAGAGGGTTTTAAGAAACAAGAAAAAGTTGAAATATTTATTAAGAGGAAGCACAGTTTTATGTTCAAGCATTGGCTTAATCCTTTCACCTAGTTCTTTTGTCAAAGATACCAGGACATATGGATGGTGTTTATACGAATGGAGGCTCAAAGGACTTCCCTGGCGGTCTAGTGGTTAAGACTCTGGGCTTCCAATGAGGGGGTGGGGGTCAGGTCCCTGGTCGGGGAACTGTAGTAGCACAGTGCGACCAAAAAAAAAAACAAAAACAACATAAATGGAGGCTCGTTATCAATTGCTAAAGCACTGAGGGTATCACTGTCATTTTATAAAAGATATTATCTATAGATTACTTAATTTTAGATTTTAATGCAGATTTGAAATTTACAGTGAAAACTTGTCATTTTATTTCAAGATGTGCAATGAAAAATAAGTTCGTTTTGACCAAACCTGGCAATACACTATCAAAACATACATACCTAATTCTACATTTTTAATAATAAAATATTCTAAAATGGTTTACATTAACCTTGAAAACTTAACAAAACATTCTGGAGTCTTGTCATAATGCTGTCTGAGTGACCCAATCAAAAAATAGGCCTTAAATTCAATTTACATTTAATTCTACTTAAGAACAAACAGCAAGACAGTAAGTTTCCAAACAGCCTATGGATAATTATTTTCTAAATGGCATCAAGAATGTAAAAATATATATAATAGGTTTTACTTAAAGTGAAAATGAGGAAAATACTGACAAGGGTAAGATTAAGAAAAACAACAACATAATAGCTTTATTTTAATTCAGCTACTTACTATGTCTCAGATATTACATCAAGTACTTAATAGCTATTAGCTGATAATCTCCATCACCTGAAATAGGTACCGTAATTCTCACTGAACAGACCAGGAAACTGAGGTTGAAGTAGCTTTCATTGTTAAACAGCTAGTTAAATGGAATAGCTGGAATTCAAATTCAGTTGGGTTGGCCTCTATAATTGATCCTCACTATGATAAAATATTTTTTGTAATGTCAGTTTCCTCAAAGAATTCCAACAATGCTTTAACCTTTCCATGAAAAATAGCTGGTCTTTAAAAATGATGATATAGCAACTGCACGTGCTACTATGTAGCAAGCTGCATCTAAGTGTATACCTCTGTATGTGTACCTGTGTATGTACGCATGTGCAGTCATACATATGCTGCACATACCTGGCAGTAATACTTGTTCAAATAAATTAATGATTTGGGGTCAAAAGGTACCTTGAAATAGTCAGTAATATATTACAAAGGACTAGATGGGAACTTAACCTGATCAGGTTTTATTCCTAAAATTGCCCTTCTTTATGGTTGTAAAAATAGGAATTAGAACTTTACAAAATAACAGACTGACACACGAATTTATCTCTTCTTCTTTAGAACCTACTTCTAGGTTCTAAAGAACCTAGAAGAATGAAGAAGAATCTTCTTCATTTAGAACCTACTAAATGATACGGAATTTTTTTTTAAAAAAAAGCATAACCCTCAAAGACAAAGAGATCATGAAAGGATCTGCCTTAGCAGGGCAAGGAAACTACAGTTGACCCTTGAAGAACACGTGGGGTTAGAGGCACTGACCACTTGCAGTTGAAAATCCATAGCTGGTATAACTTTATACTTGGTCCTCCACATCCTTGGTTCTACATTCACAGATTCAACCAACTGGGGATAGTGTAGTACTGCAGTATGTATTTAGTGAAAAAAAATCTGTATGTAAGTGGACCTATGCAGTTCAGACCCACGTCGTTCAATGGTCAACTGTATAAGCTGAAGTGCTTGGAGAAAAGGCTCAAGAAGCTTTTTGCCCTGAAGAACCTCTGAAAGGCTCAGAATTTGGAGTCATCTGAAATAGCAGAAGACAAAAGTACGGTGTAAGGCTGAAAACACCTTTTCTGTGATGGTCCCTTCTCCTTCTTGCTCAGCATGCCAACAACCAAGTAGTTTTCAGGCATTAGACATGTAAGTTACAGGAGAGGGTAAGATATTGGCCTTACGCTAAAAACAGGGAGTTAATGGAAAGTATACAAAGGAACAGTTTGGCCCTTGCCCTCAACTCTGCCAAATTCCTAGGATGCCAGTCAGCCAGGAACATATCCACAGGGCAGGAGACAGGAGGTAAATCCCATTATGCAGAGTTTCCAATTAGCTCTTTAGTACCTTATTCTTGATATAGTATAATAAAGAGTTACCTGCCTTTTAAAGAAAACTATGAGTATTAAAGAGAGCCAAAACAAATACTAATAAGGAATCTGAAAAAAACAGAGATAACAGAGGAAACAAAAGAAAACTTCAAAACCACACTTGAAGACATAAGAAAATACATCCATTAAAAAAAAAAAAAGAACAGCATGCTAAGAGAAAAGAATAATAAGAGAACAAAGAAAACTTCTTGGAGATAAAAAGAAAACATGACAGCTAACATAAAACTATTCAATAGAAGGCCGAAGATAAAATTAAGAAAACTTCCCACGGGGAAAAAAACACAAAATGACAAAAACACAAATGAAATAAAGAAATAAAGGATGGAGTTAGGCAGTCCAATAACCAACTAGTAGGAATTCCTGAAAGAGAAAACAAAAAAAATAATCAGAGAAATAACATAAGAACATTTCAAAAAGGTCCCAAGTATAGAAGCCTCTAGCTTGAAGGGAGGCTAGAATAATGAATGAAAAATAGTCTACACCAAGACATATTATGAAATTTCAGAGAACAGGGATAAAGAAGAGACACTAATAGCTTCAAAAATTAAAAATAAGTCATATTTGAAGGATTAGGAAAAAGAATAGCAATGGATTTAAAACCTGCAGCCAATGAAGCTAGAAGACTACAGGCCAATCAAAGAGTGAGTAGAAAAAGGTTTTGGAAATGGAGGGACACCCTTTCTCAGGAATTTCTTGAAGGATACACTCCAGTGAAGTTAATGAAGAAGCAAAGAACAAAATGGCACAGGATCCAAGAGACAGGGATCAAACAAAGAATGACAAAGGGAAAGTCTCCAAACAGTAACTCTGCAGAAGTCCTAGAGAATGAATTCAGACTGGGGAGGAGTGCAGAGGACTCAATGGGAGAAAGAAAAAGCACAACAGGTATATGGCAGGTATGATGGAACATCTGCAAAGAAATTAAGGATAGGTACACAGAAAACAGTGCAATTTATTTTTTAAAAAACAATCATTTACTCTTGGAGGGAAAAACCATAGAGAAATGAAATACTGTATACTGCTTGGCTCTGAAGTACACATAATCTACATGGCCAGAATTTATACAATGATTACTGACCAAGCTAAAATATGATATAACTATATGGAGATGGAGCCAATTTAAAGATGCTAAATCTTTGTCTATGCTAACAAAAAATCCAAGAGATGAAGATGGTAACTCAAGAAATTACAGTATAAAAACTTATTTTAGAATATGGAAATAAACATCAGAAGAAACAGCTCAAAGTTTTAAAAGTGGTTGCATTTGAGAGAGGAACAGGGGAGAGGGGGAAGAAAACAGTGAAGGACAGTTAGTTTTTCAAAACTATACTAAATAAATACAAGAGTTTCTAACTTTTATAAGTATATAAAACAACATTACATTAATCAAAAGAAAAATTAACTGGGATTTTTAAAAAACTCAGTGGAATCCAAGTCTTTAATAGCCCACAAATTCCTTAACTTTTAATCTTCCATGAAAAACCACTTCTAGGCAGTTCATTTCTTGGATGTAATATTTATCAACTTCTGTTCCCTCCCCACTCCAAGCATGCTGACATCCAGTATCAAGGAACATTTCTCAAAAGGGATAATCTGTTTATCCATCTGTAACTTTCCCCTCAACGCCTCAATGTTCTAACTCAAGGCCAATTTTTTTTTACATATGTCTGAGTTTAAGTTAAATATTGTAGCATCTGAGCACTCATTACCCAATATGGGGACTTTTTAAACTTTTTGCACAGTTTCCAAGTAATCTCTGATCTTTCTACATACCAATTCATCCTGCACATGGTTAACGAGTAAATCAAATCAATTTAAAATACCGTTTTCACCACCTCTCCTTTAAACAAGAACCTGTAATGATTCCCCACTTTTCTCGGGATTGAGGTCAATTCTTTCTGATACTTATGAAGGTTCCTAGTCTGCCCTGATCTCATCTTCCTAGTCCATAACTTTCCAAAGTATACCCTCCACTTCTGTCAGGCAAATCTTTCCACCTCCTCTTCACAACCTGCTGTGTTTACTACCATCTCTTGTTAATGCTGTGTCCTGAAACTTGAAAGCCCTCACCTAAATTTTACTTATCTTAAGGTCAAGCATAAGTCCCATAACTTTCTAGAAGCTGCCACTTTAGCCTGCACTGACTCATCTCTTCCTCCAGACAGTGATCAATCCTTGCTTCTTATAGTTTCAAAACTGTGTTGGCTCACTATCGATGATGGTCACTGTGCTTCATGCAATGCCAATCATATAAAAAAAACATAACTATTATTTGAACATTTAAAAAATTCAGTTTGATTTGAATTTCCTCAAAATCAACCTGAGTCACCTAGCAGTCACCACCTATCAGTCAATAAATGAAAAATTAGAACAGAGTTCATTGACCCCAGTGCAAACTCCTCCCTCAGACCACCAAGGACAAAGTTGATCTGATGAGCCTGTGACTGAGCTGCTCTCACAGGCACACTCAGGATGAGGGACAATCCACTCAGGATGAGGGACAATCCCCAAGACATTCAAGAAAACATATCAGATTGCAAGGGACTGAAAGGTGTTTATGTAGGAACAGACCCGGTTCCACTCAAAATTATTTATTTATTTTTTAAAGCAAATCATTTTTAAACTTTGGTATGCTCACTAATTTTCCTAACAAATTACTTGCTTCATACCTCATAACTAGTGATTTTGTACCACAACACCACTTCAGAGTAAAATTGATTTCAAAGACAATCCAACTAGTTACTGCATATCTATTATTACACTAATGACTGTTTTACAGAAACAAATACATTTGTACTTACTTCAAGGATACCTTTACTTTGGGTTTAAAATAGGGTGCGTTCTGGTCTGCCAAAAAGACGATTAAATCATTTCCTAAAAGAAGCGAGTATACATTAGAAAAATGATTCCCAGTGAAACATACGATTAGTGGTTACAAGAAGCTTTCTGGGCACTGTTTTCAATAAGAAAACTTTTATTTTACTCCAGTTCGTCTGCCCTCTCAAGGTTGGTCCTATTAGACTAATGGAATGGAGATTCCTAACAGTATATCACAAATTCAATATTCAAAGCAGCAGGGAAACTAGAAGGATGAACAAGGAAAAATGTAGTTGGTCAAGGCAAATTGAAGCCAATGGCTTCTGCCAGGAGTCAGACTGATTGACTTAAAGGAAGCATATAAAGAATATGCTTTATAACTATACTACGTGTTAAGTCTTGTCTTCCTCAAACCTAACAACTCAGCCTCTTATAAGGCTGTTTAGTCCATTGCACAGATGCATCACACCAAGGACACAGAAACTCCTACTGTGGGTATCTGACTAGTAACTAGGACATGATGTCATAGTTAAGCAGAAAAAGCTGCATCATCCAAGACTACCCTTTTGTGTCTCCTACAGAACCATCCCCCAGGTTGATGCATTTCTGGAGTTCAATGAGCACTCATTGGATCAGATTTTTGAAATTGTTTAGTCAAACACAGGGCATCTTTAAAGGGGAGAATCTCTGTCTCCAGTTTGGGTTGAGTGGCTATAGGTTAGGCAGTATACACCCTTCTTGCAGTACATGGAGTCATACAAAGATAGGAAAATACCCAAGGTCCACAAGAGGCTCTGGAGTCCTGACAAGGACTCCAAGAGATCTGGACAAGATCTTGTCAGACAAACTCTATGAGTGCTTCACTTCCTTCTTTCACAGCCTTGACCTTAAACAGTCCCTGCTTTGTGGGTACTAGAGAATACTAAGACCCTCTAATGCCCATTGTCAGCATCAAGATTTACAAAAAAAAGTTTGTTTAGTGATGGTTAAAGCCAAGAACTCCCAAGAACCTCAAGCTGGAAAAGAAAACAGAGATTTGGAAGACTAGGGTGGTGGCCAAAGCAAGGAAGTCTTTTGCACACAAAAGACTAGGGCAGCCCAGAAGGGAAAAAAACCTGCAGTTTGAGAACCCTTTTCCAAGGAGACACTGGGTTTATTAGTAGTGCCTGTGAAATACTTGTGAGAATTGGGGAGTGTTTAGGCCCTTGGGAAGGAACAGTAGTTTCCAAGAAAGCTGGGACCCTGACAAAGGGAGGGGAGGGTGAACAAGGTAACTGAAGAGGGAGGGAGAAGTCCTCTACGAGAGGAAATTGTCAAGTCGCACGTTTTCCAGTTCATCAAAGGGGAAGGGAGACTGGAGGAAATACAGCAGACAGGAATGAAGGGACCTTGGGAGGGAACGTAAAGGCAAGCTACAAAGACTACTGGGAATCAGGAAGGACTTTGCAAGGTGATTCCATGAGAAGGGCGGGGTGCGTGAGTGACGGCCGCGGTCGTCTCAGGAAAAAAACCCAAAAAACCGGGGTGTTTCCAGTGCTTGCGGGGGTGGATCAAACGGTGGAGGGGTCAGGCCAGGACCTGGGTTTGGAAAAGATGGGAAAAAAAGGCAAGCTGCAAGGATGCTGGAAATAAAGGGGGAGAGGGCTGGGAGAGAAGGGCCGGGAAATGCAGGAGGACCGGGAATCCGGGCAAGGGGTGTGGGGAACACTGGGAGGGGCACGCGAACAGAGGGAGGGCCGGGCAAGCACTGACTTTCCCGCAGCACGAAGAGGTCCGTCTGCTTGTCAGAGTTGAGGTCTCCGAAGGCCGCCAGGGTGCCCCAGGCCTCGGCCCCAAAGAGCTCGGCCGTGACGTTGTGCAGTGCCCGCGCCGGGACCGGCCCGACTCCCAGCAGCGCGAGGCCCCCAAGCAGCGGCGCCAGCAACACCCAGGAGCCCAGCAGCCGGCCTGCCGCCGCCATGGCAGCCCCTCGGCCCCCGCCCGCCGGCCCACTGCTGCGCTTGACGGCAGCCGGAAAGCACCGTGCCGCCGGCCGAGAGAGAAAGAGCGTAGCCCAGACGCCCGTACGACCGCGGCCAGGCCCCGTCTCACTCTTCCGTAGGGCTGCCCCACTGACGCTCGGGAGGCCGCGAAGCTAGGTTGAAGCTCGCCCTCGCGCTCACTTCCGGCCGGTGCGCCTCCCGACAGTGTCGCGCGGGGGGGCGGGGCCGGCCGGGAGGAGCTGACAGGCGGCCCCGGGGGCGGTGGCCAAGACGGCGGCCGGAGCGCGATGGCGGGGCTCGTGGCCGAAGTGAGCTGGAAGCTCTTGGAGCGAAGAGCCCGGAACAAGCGCTCAGGTTTGGCTGGCTGGGGCGCCACCCCTTTCCCCCGCACCGTAGAGGGTACTTCCCCTCAAGAGCCTTGGGCAGGAGGCAGATGGGGGTCCTGGAATGAACCTGTGCCCGCGTGTTTCCCCTTAGAAAGCAGACGGTGGTCCCTGACTTCCTCTTGATGTCTTTCCCCATTAGGTGGTGGTCCCACCTTTGCTCCGTTTTGCTTCCCCAACTATATTTCGTGTGTGTTCTCTCTCGAAAAGTAGGTGGTGGTGCCGACTTCTCCTGGAGTCTTCTTAGAAATCAGGCGGTGGCCACATTCCCGGGAGTCCCCTCCCTGTCTGTATTCCTCCCCTCATTTTTACATATGACTAGGGTCTGGTCCTAGAAAACGGCTGCTTGTTGCCTTATTTCGTATCTCCTTTTCACATTACAAGTTCCGAGATCTAGCCAGTTATCTATGTGGCAGAAATTGAGGGAGACCGGGCCTCAGGCCACGAAGGGGGTCACGGTGAGCATAGTTAGGACTCAGAAGGAAGTGGGCCCCTTCCCTGGGCAAGTGGCCCCAGGACGCCTAGTTCCCAGTTGTGGCTCCCAAACCCGAGGCCACCTAGGTCAGAAGACGCTGCGCAGGCAGTTATAGTAGTTACAGTGTCCTGAGCTGACTTGTTCAAATTGCAGAGTCACATTTTGAAGTTAGCACTTGTGGCTGATAACTCATCTGACAGCCAGGATTGAAACTTCTCTTATTCCTGGCTGGCTGGATGTAATCTCGAGCTAAAAAGTGTTCCTGTAAACAGGAAAGATGGTGGAATGACAAGTCTTCATCTAAGAATCTTCCCTTTTGAAGGCTTGTTGTTACTATATAAATTAGTGTTGGGAGATGATAATGTCAAAGTCGATAATCTGATAACATTGAAAGACATAGTCCTAGGAAAACTAATTATGCATTTGCATTGGTATTAAGGGTTTTGTTTTTTTCCCCTCAGCTAATACTACCCCATTATATTTTGGCTTTTCCCATTCATGAAGTTCTTAGTTGTTGTGCAGACAACAGAGTTCTTAGCAGTCTTTTTTTTTTTTTTTTGAAGAAAATAATTTCATAAATCATACAGGAGAAATCCACCCAATCTTTGTTGCTTATTCCATTCTGTTTTCAAAACCTTAAAAATAGTTGCGCACTTATTTACTTAGGGTTATAGCAAAACTACCATATGAGAGAATTTTTCAAAAACTAGTCCTTAGTACATTTTAGTGTTAGTACAGTTACTTAGAATAGTCACATCTATTTCTGTTTCACACTTTTCCTCAAACTTTTTGTGTCATACTGAAGTATTGAGTTGACCACTAACAGTGAGTCTATCTGGGCTATAAAAAGGGTTATTGAGTTGATAATTTCCTGTCAAAGAGAATAACTGGAGTTTTCTTACAGGAAACTGAGCTCTACCCTCAACATATACTTTTACAGCATTTCTCTTTTCCTCTAATAAACGTATAGGGTTTATTTTCTTCTCCAGTCTTAATTTCCTCTGAACTGCATGTCATAACAGTAAGCTTTGAAAACCTACCTTCTCTTTCTTTACTGAGAAAAAAAAATCAAATTTTATGTAACTATTGTTGAATGCAGTCACTTAAATCCAGTTTCATGTACAAGGTAGTTGAGTGTATTGTATAAATGTGGGATGTTCCTATATGTTTACATCATAGCAATAAAAGAGATACCATTTGAAGTCATCCCTCCAAATTAGTTGAGGTTTCAGATTCTTCTGATAGCTGTGACGTGTAGACTATAAACTTTCTTTAGTGAATCATTGATTTCCTGTGTCATTAAAAGCAATCACCCTGATTCTGTTTGTTACTTTTAGAGGAGTATATAAAGTGAGTTTTGTTTGAAACTTGGACTAACCTGACTATGATATAGATGCCACTGCAAGGTTCTGAGCATTGTTACATAGTAGCATAATCACTTCACTGCTCAATAGAGCTACTGGATGCTACTCTTATGTAATGTTTAATAAGTGGCCATTATATATTTCCTGCCTCATCCATATAAGCAAATGTAACTTATCAAAGCAAAGAAAATCAAATTTTCAAGTCATAAAAGAGAAAATAAAATTATAATGAACCTCAATTATTGCCTTTGTTGCACACCGCATCATGTTAATAACTGCTCACACTGCTTTCAATTAATCTAATGCTGATTGCTTCTAACCTTCACTAAACAGTTTTGAAAATTGCTATAGTTTAGCCTGCGATGCTTATGATTAGAGTCAACAATTTGAAATGGCCAGCTCACCTGATGCAGTCGTCTCTTCTCCACCAGCTTTCTTAAGGTCTGGTAAGTGTGTAGACCCCAAAAGGGTCACTTGGTAATTTTAAATAACTTTGTTTCTGAAGGTTGATGTCACCATATGATATTATTTTGGTTTTATTTCCTCTTTGGTGGGCCCAAGCCTGAGCACCATTTCTGTTATTGTTGGGCCTAAGTTTGCACTGTATGGTGAATGTAGTCTGTGGTGTGAGAAGCATGAGAAATGCAGAGTGGAGCCCCTGTCTTGACACTAGCTCTGTTTGACCAGGGGCAATTCCTCAGTATCTGGGAGCCTTAATTATCACCTGGGTAGTTAAAACGCTTCTTCAATAATTTTTGTCTTTTTGCATAACAGAGTAACTCTTATAAAGTAGAAAAATTTGGTCAGCGTCCCAATTATTTTCTCTTCATCAACTCCTTGTGAAGTAGGTATTTTTATATGTATTTTCATAGACAGGAAAGGGAAGCCCACAGAGATGAAGCAAGTTGCCCCAGGTTCTGAGACTATTATGTTTCAAGGCCATGTGCTTTGCCTTTCATCCCATGGCTTCCTGGTGTAAGGGCTGGAGGAGGTGTTGGTGCAGTGACTGTCAGGTTGGTGAGACCCTTTGCAAGCTGGATGAAAGCTGTGGAATTGCTCTCCAGATGAGTGCCCTGGGTCTTGAAAACAATTTGGAAGAAGTCCATGCATCCAGGAAAGACCATATATGGATTCCCATTAGGAACACAGGCCTTTGAATGTATCTGGAAGAGAAGGGCTTTGTTAAGTGGCCATAGAGCTGAAATGAAGACTGAAGTCTTTACAGCTTTTTTCTGTGGGTTGTGACCCACCTTGGGCCATTTAAAACCTGTTTTGTGTGTGAACACTGGGAAAAGCCTCTTGGCAAGAGGCTGCTTTGTCTTTAGTGTGCCTTAAGCAGAATATTCAAGCCTCAGGACTCATTACTGTGAGATGACTCAATCAAAACAGTGACAGTGAAAAATTCTTTCTTTTTGGTTTCACCATAGCCTTTCAGAGGTGGTTCCCCTACCGTTTATTTCCATTTGTATTTCAAGCCCTGTTTTGGCAAGATGGAGGGGAAAAATCTTGAAGAAAAGAAATAGGAAATAGCTTACGGAAGAGTCACAAACAGGAGAAAACAAAGCTTATACTTTAAGAAACAATAATGATCCATGTCTTTAGTTGTCATCTGCCAAATGACAAAATAGTATATTATATGTAACATTGCCAATTGATTTTTGATTTAATCTTTGAACTAAGAGAACAAGAGGACATGTATCTTTGAACTGTACTTTCTTTTAAGCATCAGGCTCTCGTTTTCATCTTGGCTTTCTTAATAAGGGCTTGATGGGTTTTCAGCACTGACAAAGTCCTTCAGCAGTTACTGGGAAATAGAATGCTAAAGGTATGCTTTTTTATGCATCAATAGTCCCGAAAATTTCAAAACCTAAGAACTGTGCTTAACATTACATAGAGTGTTTAAAACCATATACAAGAAGTTTTTCCAGTACCATATTATTAAATCAAAATAGAATACACCAAGAAACTAAATAGGAAAATACCAAACTTAATCGTTATAAGCCATTTAAAAGATGGATTCCTCATAAATTACTTTCAGTATAGACACTTGGGGTTCATCTAACCAAAACTTAGTGATAACTATAAAGAAATAAAACTATTATCTGTTAAATAGAGTGGTTTGCATTTATAGTTTATTTACTAATATAGAAATGCTTCATTTATGTTGGAAATGATTTGTTTTCTGCTATTGTAGTTCCTTGGACGTTATCATTGTGGGAGAGTGTATAATGGTGTGATTTCATTTAACAATCTTTAAAGAATGTCCTGGGTTTATAGCTGAGCTTTTCTTTGGTACCTTTGGCTAGAAACTATTTAACATTACCAAAAGTGAAAGCCAGTATCTTGATTTTGGAAAATTAATTTCTAATATACCCAGATTGTTTTATGCATTTTAACCCTCTTTATTCCTCTTGGATTTGTTTCTGCTATGTTTTTCTTTATTTCTACTCTTTATTGAATTTAGTGTGTCCTGCGTTTCCGTGCGTGCATGCCTGAACTGTGCTCTGAATGCTAATGTGTCAGTATGTGCTGTGGTTGAATATACTTTCTTTTGTTTTAACTGCTTAAATCCAAAAAGAGATCTGGATGTCCAGGCTTTTCTTTAAAGAGCCTTGGGGTAAAACCTATCGGCCAATGAATTTATAGGCAAATTCCACAACCAAAATGAATTAACTAATTATTAGGGAAGGAGTGTAGCATCCAGTAACTTAGATGGCTTCCATTTCTCATTTGACTACTGCAGTTATATTTTAGATTAGCAGAGTTGATCAGCTAGAGCAATGACATTGGCATTACAAGTTCAGTTATTTGTAGTAATTGCTATGGCATTTTGTGATGAGGTAAAAAATGTCATGGCATTTTTACTTTTATTCTTAGATGATA